TCTTTAAAATGATATCATTTTGGGAGTAAAATGACGTCATTTTGATACATTCGAGTCATTCGGACTAAATAATACGAGTTATCAAACTTTTTTGGTTATTTTAACATTCAGATTGGCTGGGTTGGCTATTTTCACCCCTGCATTCACTTTCCAAACACCGCCAAAAATATTTCATTACACCCCCTTTTTCATTTTGGAATGGACTTATGAGGTGTGGTTGGGACTCGTGGCCCATCATTGTCCCACTTTAATTATTTAAATTATTTTTATTTTATTCGACTATTTAGATAAATTATTCATAAAAAAAATTAAACTAATTTAATAATCATAATTCATGATTTATTATATTTGTCCGGAAAAAAGAGAGCCAATTTATTTTATTGTGCTGGGCCTTATGAGGACTGGATATAGTCAATAGTTGGATTGCAGAGAATCTAAACCTTCAATTTTTTTGTCACTACAATTTATGTCTAATATGGTTCTTCAAATTCTAAAATTACATAAATCCTAAACTGACCTCTCCTTCCCCGACGTACCACCGTCCTTGGTACTCGTCCTAACCCCTCTTTGCTGTCACTTTCTCCTTCAGCACTTAATTTTCATTTGTTTTCACGTTCTTCTTATCCCTATTATAAATATGAAAAACTTAGATATATGATAAGTCTTGATTTTTTTTTTTTTTAACAGGAAAATCCTCCCTACCCTCCCACAGGTCTAAGGCAGCGCCCCTTGCAGAGATCACCAGGGTGTCCTGTAGATAAGTCTTGATATTAGAGCTACAATCTACTTCTTTTCAAACTTGAGAGAGTTTGCAGTACAAGTACTGTAGAGCGGTCCATGGTATTGATGGGATTGCGGTTCTAAAAGGTTTGTGTAAGTAGGGAAGTTGGAGGGATCAAGATGCAGAAAGTTTTTAAAAAAAAATTTCTGAAACAAGTTTTTGAAAATCAAACCAAACATAAATGGTTTCCATTGCTTAATTTGCGTTTTGGAATTAAATAATATTGCAAAGTGTATTCTATTATACTTAGACGAATTACACTAATGGTCCTTATAATTTGGAGCTGTGTCACTGTGGTCATTAACTTTTTAATTGTGACTATTTGACTCTAAATTTGAATCTTACTCCAAATAAGGACAATTGAAAATATTATTGCTTAATTCAAGGACAAAATCGTAATTTGATAAAATATAAATTAATTTGACAAAAATTAAAATCAAAAAAAATATTTTTAAATGGTCACCTGATTGTTATGTTGTGCAACTTGTGAATGATAAATTACGAATCTGTTGAGATAAATCAACGGAAAATATAGGACGCGTATCATTCACAAGAAAAACATAACTACTTTTGAAGAAAAAAAAAATCATTTCTGAACTCGAATGCGGCTCTCGTTTTCATTTTCCTTTTCTTGGTTTTGTTTACAAGATTGAAGGGTCCAAAGCACTCTGGTGAAACAGATCACATTGGGCAATATGTTTTGTTCATCAATTCTGACAATCAAATTTGTCAACAATATGAAAATACTCAATGCTCTCTTGAATTTCTTTTGCAGTAAAGCCAACAAGTAGTAGCAGTCTTATTTTTTTATGAGCGGATTCTCGGCCGCCCTACTCGGCGGTTGTTTCCAGCAGCCCCCAAAACGACGTCGTTTTGGGGCAAATTTTCAAAAAAAAAAAACGCAGAGGAAGAGAGGGAGAAGAGGGAGGAGGAGGAGGAAGGGAAGGGCCGGACTGGAGGGGCCATAACCAGTGGGAGGAGGAGGAGGAGGAGGAGGCGACGAGCTGCAACGGCGGCGGCGAGGCGACGAGCTGCGATGGCGAGCTCGCAGCTCCTCCCTCCTCCTTCCTCCCTCTTCTCCCTCTCCCCTCCCCTCCTCTGGTTTCCGTTTGAAGAGAGAGAAAACAAGAACGAAGAAGAAGAAAAGAAAAAAAAAAAAAAACCCCAAAACGACGTCGTTTTGGGGGCTGCCGAGTAGGGCGGCCGAGGATCCGGATCTTTTTTTATAAGTAGCCTACTAAATTTTGGGTCCGCTTTAGTCATGATAATCTCATCCATTCAATTTTTTTTATGCCTTCCCGTGCTAGAATATTATTCCTGGTATTTCCATCAAGGTAATATGTTTTTAGTTATGGGATTATATATTTTCATCCATTTATTTTCTCGTGTTAGAATATTATTCCTAGTATTTGTAGGAAAACTATTTAATAAAATAGCAAACTGTGTATATTTAAAATTTAAAAGAGAACAATTGGAAAATAAAATTCTAAAATAAATTTTAGAATGTAAACTTCATTTTTCCAAAAACCCAGAAAATAATTATTTCTGAAAACAAAGGAAGGAAAGAAATTTCTTGTTCAAGTATAAAACTAGAACAAACACACACTGAATTACCTAAATAAAAAAACTTACAGATTATTGCTGTATAGAAATTAGGGATAAGCAACGAATATACCGATCCGTCCATACTGATCGAATCGAACCGATCCGTCGCATTTTGGACTGATGCGTGATGACAAGCGGACGGTTGTGAATTATTTTTTCCAATCCACCTAGTTTTGGATGGATGTCAGATTTGAGGTTCTTTGGCCGCAACCGAACCGCCAAAATGCGAGCACTCCTAGTAATTTGTAAGACTTTGTGTTTTTAATTTGTTTGGATATTTCGTTTGTGTTTTTCAATTTAAAAAGAGTTTAAATATTTTGTTGAATATATTCTATTGAAAAAGAGTTTTCAACTTGAATATATTTTTGAATTGAAAAAAACAAATATATTATTTATCTATATTTTTTGTTTCTAAATCTAACTCTAAAAATAATAAATAAAAAAGATGACATATGCTGGTTGGTTTTATTTTCAAAAATAGATATAGATGTAACAATATAGAGACATACAATCTCTACTACTGCTCTATTCATGGTTTGTGGTTTGAATTGTTTTTATATTTTAAGAATCATAGATTGTAATACTTTTTAAAGTTATTGATTGTAATACTTTTTTTTTTTTTTTGAAGAAGTGCACAAGTTGAATTATCTTGAAAATTTATAAAATTTTAAACCGCCAAACTAATTCGCATCCATCTGCCAATCCGTCAATCCGCTCAATCCACATTCGTCGGATTGGCGGATGAATGCTGATTGATTTTCTCTAATCTGCCAATCTAGCTGACGGATGACGGATTGGAGGTTTCGTGACCATAATCGATCCGCGCTCACCCCTCATAGAAGTGCAAAAAGGAAAGACAGCCAAGGCGTGTGTTAGACACACTCTCCTTAAGATTGTTACGTCCTCGCTATAGTGCTCGAGAACAGATGACGCCGACCTCCCAGGATGCAACGATTATATTCCAGAATTGCAACACTACAATTTGGGTCTAGCGAATAGACTGAGTTGTATCTCTCTCTTACAGAAAATTATAAGAACAATATGCAGAAGAGTAATACAGCGAAATGGAGAAAAAACGAATGAATGAATTGGTTGGAGAAGGTTTGAAGTTATAGGCAAGATAGTGACTGTTCGGATGGGTTTGGAAGCGCTCCGAACAGGTGCAAACCAGAAAACCGCTGGAGTGAAGAGAGGTGACTGGAGAAGGAAGGGATGCCACTGTTCGGGTTTAAATTTCGAAATTGGCACAAACTTTTGAATTTTTCTGTTAGGATTTCAAATTTTTCAAAAAAAAATTCAAACAAATTTTGTAAAAAAAGAAAAGTTAGGACCTGACCCGACCCAGGCACAGCGACAGTGCGTGTGTGATGGTTTTCAGTCAAGCCCACTTTATCCATAACTCCCCTCCTTACAAAACTTAGGGTGCCCCTTAGGGTTCAACCCAAGTATGTCCACCTAGAACTTATATACTCACACTAGCTTTCTTAAAGTCTCAATGTGGGACTACCAATTTAAAGAAATTCACATTTAACTGTTCAACTTCCCATTTCACGAACCCGAAAACGACGTTAACTTTTCATTCACTCATAAATGATTTTCACGAAACGTCTTCACCATGTGACTTGTCATGCGGTAAGAAACACGTCACATCTCTGAACCCATCCCAAAAGATGTGTGGCTCCACTCAAATTTGGGCTCAAAATTAGCCCAAAATAAGCCTATGAAAGCCACAATTTCCAACAGTATTTTCCCTTACCTTAGTCTAGGAGATGATCAAAACTCAGTAGGCTTAGAAACAGAACAATCTCCAGCAATAATAGCTACAAGAGCTAGACTAGAAAATGTGACTGGCTAGAATGTGATATGAAAATGTTAAGACATAATATATTACCAATGTTGTCAAAAGTTTTCACCTGACAAAACCAAAATTTTAACTCCAGAGGGGCAAAGATCTGAGAAGCAAAAAAATAATCTTTTACATATCAATGGTTATGTAGTGTTATATTTCAATTCCAGCATGAAAAATAACTAATTTGCTATTAAAATAATACACAAAAACTATTAGCTATTTAGTCTTAACATGATTAAAAAAAAGTTACATCTACTCAACTACATATAAATAAAAGAGAAATTATAAGTTAATCAATTCTTTGTATATGCCAACTCAATTATTTATTGAAGTGGAAGTCAACATTTTTTTTTTCAAATTTCAAAAGTTTTCAATAGTTCGTAATGTGAATCTCATTAATATGGCATCAACATTATGAGAACCTCTGTCTCATCAACTAATAAACAAATTGTAAAAAGAAATATAATTAATATATTAGTAATGTTAAATTATGCTTTTATATATATAATTAATATATTACTAATGTTAAATTATGCTTTTATTAAATAAATTAAAAAAAGAAAAAAAGAAAAAGTTTAGAAGTCTAGTTTTTGGGGGGTTCCAATACTTTACGTAGAAGCTTGGATTATTAAGAAATATGAAATTTCTAATAATCCTGCAAAGCATATCATTACAGTAGCATTATTTACTTTGAGCAGGAGGGCTAATAGTTCAGTCTGTGGAAAAATTGAAAAGAGATCTGCACGCTAATGAATAAATAAAAAGTAAAAAAGAAAGAAATATTAAATTTCTAATATTCTTGCAGAGCATATCATTACAGTAGCTTTATTTACTTTGAGTAGGAGGGCTAATAGTTCAGTCCGGGGAAAAGTTGAAAAGAGAACTGCATGCTAATGAATAAATAAAAAGTAAAAAAGAGACAAAATCGCAACAATGATAGAGAGCTCTAAATTCAGGAATATTAGAGCTCTCAATCTTTATTCGGCAAAGTCCCATATTCAAGCGAGACGTTTGGCAAATACCATTGCAACTATGATGATAAAAATTACAGCAGTCATAGACCCCATGAACAAGGGCAGGGGAGATCCTTCACCATATCTGCAAGCACTCCAACTGCACAAGCAACAAAGCCAGCCTTCGCCAAAATGGGGGTTGCTGCTTTCCAGTGGGTGTCAGCAAGAAGAATTGCAACCCCACTATCAGCCAAACCTATTGCGTAAGAAGCCTTAGCAAAACTGGATGTCGTAGTACAACTAGCTGCAGCAGAGACTCTAAAGACTGTCCTTGCCACATTTACCCCATACTCACTTGATCGATCTGCAATGTGGGCAACACGTGGTACCACTGATGAAGGGACATCCCCTGGAGCCGGAGGATCTCCATTATTATTGGCACGTCCCATCTCCAAGTCTCCCTCACGAGGGGCATTCATACTACTAGTGGCATCTCCACTAACATTGGCAAATCCGCCAGCAGCTACCTCATGAGGGACTTTTGATGAGGGTTGTGACAGAGAATTACCTATGATGAATGATCAAAAGAAGCAAACAGTTAGGGGAGTGGTGGTATCTGGTTGAAAATCATTTCTTAACTGTATTTTCAGAAATAAAGATTACCTGCTGCATGAATTTCACTCACCAGCCACGTCACCACAGTGGATAAAACGACAACAGCCCGTCCCCGAGTAATAGTACTTCTTTGCCAAACTCTTCAACGCTGCGTCCAACTTCTTCGCATCTATCTTGCGGTTATCGAACATGTTGAACAAGAAGCAACACTCCTGGTTGTACCTCTCGTGGACCTCGTGATCGCTGAGACGACTGAAGAAATCACAAAAGCAGAAACCGGAGAGCTCGTTGAGATCAATTACTTCTAAAAAAAAATTTAAAAAAATTATGGTAATAAAGAGCATAATGTTATTAGTTAACTGTTAGTTCATTTATAATTGGGGCACGTACAAAATCAAGTAATAAAATAATAAAGAGTTATTTTCTTAGAATAAAGTGTGAATAAGTTGCTATTAAAAAAAAACCTATTAAATTATAGTTTATCTTACAAAGAAAAAAATTATACTAAATATTAGAACTAACAGTTTTATTTTCTTAAGACGTCTAAAATATACTTGATTAACAAAATGATCAAATTAGGGATTTAAAAGCAAATAAAAGTTCGTTTAAACAAAACAAAAACAATACATAATCATAAAAAATAAAAAGGCTACAATAAAGAATTGGAATTTAATTTGTTGAGTGCGTTGTTATTTTTAGCATAAATACATTTTTATAAACTTTAATCCTATCACATTTTTCATTCATTTCCTTTCTCCTATTTTTCTTTCTTCTAGTCTAGCCTTCCTCTATTAAATATCACATCTATGTTTGTTAAAAATTCTCTCTAATTATCTACTACCTCATTCTTTCAAATTGATTTTTTTTTCTGCCTTTCTTCAATTAGGCATTCTAATTCTTGAACAATCGACATCAATTTGAATTAGAACTTAATAAAATCTAGAGAAATAGGATTGTCAAAATGAGAGGGACAAGATTGAGGGTAGACTTAGAGGGTGTTTGAGATAATCTAAATAAAAAAAGGGAAATTTGGTCAATGCCCCTTAATAAAACTTCAATGCATTGAAGACAAGCACAAAAAGTTATCCTTGAAAAGTCTAGCACACACCGCTTTTACCAACATATCCTTAGTGACTAATTTAATAGTTTAAGCTTTAAAATGATATAACTTTTGATTTTTAATAACATTAGTATTTTTAAAATCCTTTCATCAAGGTCTATCAAACAAAAACTAGGTTGATTATGAAATTCTTTATAATAAAAAAAAATTACCGTCAAAATTAACATAAACAGTAAAATTTTACTTTATGTGCTTCATAGTAAACTTTTAACTTTTAAATAACAACTTTAACAGAATAAAATTTTACTGTTAATTTAAAACAGAGCATTAACAAATAAATGACAGATTACATATTATTACAGCGAACCACAATAAAATTTTACTGTCATTTAAACAAAGCATTAGCAAATAAACACATTACAAGAGTAAAATTTTATTGTTTGCTCTGAACAGGACATCAACAACAAAAAACAGAGTACACATTGGAAGAAAAAACGCAACCAGCAGAGATAAAAATTGTCAACAATGATTGAACAAAACTTCAAGTCTATCTCAATCAAAAACCAAATGAACTTGAAACTGTACCAAATCAATCAATGAAGAAAAAGTGATGAAGAAAAGAGCAGTATGTTAGGGACTACGATGATGAAGAATTATGAACTACAATCCATGATGAACAACTATGAACTAGGATTGATGACCTAAAGTCAAAAACTTTGTAAAGGTGTGGGTTTTGATTCAGAATTTTTGTTAGAATACTGGTGACAAACTAATGAAAGTTCTTCTTTGTTGGATCCAAGCTATTGGTTACAAACACGGGTATGTAAGTTTTGCACAGAGATTGTAATCAAGAAGGAACATTCAATAGTGAAGAAAGAATTATGAACATAAGTATGTTTCCTTCACCGTGATAATTATTTATACAGTTAAAAAGGATAAATATGTCTTCAAAATTCAATCTTGCCACTCAGATGTCCTTCATGCATCATGAAAATTAACACGAGGGACCTAATGGATTGAAACTTATTTTGGTGGACTTTACACATGATATCTCTTAGATGAGGGGCTTTTTACTAATTTTCCCATAAAAAAAGGCAAATTTGGTCAAAGCCCCTTCATAATAAAACTTCAATGCATTGAAGACAAGCACAAAAAGTTATCCTTGAAAAGTCTAGCACACACCGCTTTTACCAACATATCCTTAGTGACTAATTTAATAGTTTAAGCTTTAAAATGATATAACTTTTGATTTTTAATAACATTAGTATTTTTAAAATCCTTTCATCAAGGTCTATCAAACAAAAACTAGGTTGATTATGAAATTCTTTATAATAAAAAAAAATTACCGTCAAAATTAACATAAACAGTAAAATTTTACTTTATGTGCTTCATAGTAAACTTTTAACTTTTAAATAACAACTTTAACAGAATAAAATTTTACTGTTAATTTAAAACAGAGCATTAACAAATAAATGACAGATTACATATTATTACAGCGAACCACAATAAAATTTTACTGTCATTTAAACAAAGCATTAGCAAATAAACACATTACAAGAGTAAAATTTTATTGTTTGCTCTGAACAGGACATCAACAACAAAAAACAGAGTACATATTGGAAGAAAAACGCAACCAGCAGAGATAAAAATTGTCAACAATGATTGAACAAAACTTCAAATCTATCTCAATCAAAAACCAAATGAACGTGAAACTGTACCAAATCAATCAATGAAGAAAAAGTGATGAAGAAAAGAGCAGTATGTTAGGGACTATGATGATGAGCTACGAACTACAATCCATGATGAATAACTATGAACTAGGATTGATGACCTAAAGTCAAAAACTTTGTAAAGGTGTGTGTTTTGATTCAGAATTTTAGTTAGAATACTGGTGACAAACTAATGAAAGTTCTTCTTTGTTGGATCCAAGCTATTGGTTACAAACATGGGTACGTAAGTTTTGCACAGAGATTGTAATCAGGAAGGAACATTCAATAGTGAAGAAAGAATTATGAACATAAGTATGTTTGCTTCACCGTGATAATTATTTATACAGTTAAAAAGGGTAAATATGTCTTCAAAATTCAATCTTGCCACTCACATGTTCTTCATGCATCATGAAAATTAACACGAGGGACCTTATGGATTAAAACTTATTTTGGTGGACTTTGCACATGATATCTCTTATATGAGGGGCTTTTCACTAATTTTTCCATAAATTTTTTTTTTTTGATGTTTTTAATAAAAGATATGCAAGAAAATATAAAAAGATCAAAAAAATAAAAATTTAATTAAAATTTATAAAATATTGTTTCTTTAAAGAGAGGGAAGGAAAAAAAGAAAAGAAAAGAGATTTTGTCTAATGCTTTGAATTGCTAGTGAATTTTAGAAGGAAGAAAAAATATCAAACCAAAAGTATGTATCGGAATAATCACTTTGGATGAGATTTGAGAGGTTTTAGGAGAAAATCGTTTTGTTATAAATCAAAATAATATGTGAAAGAAAAAGGCAAATATTAGTAGCACGCTGGAGTCAAATTCATGGTTTAGCACTTGATCAATGTTACAAATACTTGCCATGGATC